GCTGGCAATTGCTTGAGTTTAGGAGTTCAAGAGAGCAACCTGGGCAACATGGCAAAACCCCGTCTGAAGGAAGGAAGGGAGAGAGGGCGGGAGGGAGGGGAAGAAACAAAGAGGGAGAAGGGAGGAAGAAAACTAGTACTCTTATCATATGGAACTGTCCATCTCAAGTCTCTCACCTCAAGTCCATCCATCATCTCTGTCTTAGCCACTTTCTTTACTACGCTATCACCAAAACCATCATAAACAAAATTCTGTAACAAGCACTTAAATATCAATCAGAAGCTTAAATCTTTTTACCTTTATATATGCCTCATATAGTAGGCAACTCGATAAATATTTGTCCAATTAATTAATGAACAATTTCTCTGAGGCATGAACTTCCCTTTTTTTTAGAGATGGAGTCTTGCTCTGTCACCAGGCTGGAGCGCAGTCACGCAATATCAGCTCACTGCAACCTGCGCCTCCCGGGTTCAAGCAACTCTTCCGCCTCGGCCTCCCCAGTAGCCGGGACTATAGGCACGTGCCACCACACCCGACTAATTATTGTAATTTTAGTAAAGATGGGGTTTCACCACGTTGGCCAGGATGGTCTCCATCTCTTGACCTCGTGATCAGCCCACCTTGGTCTTCCAAAGTGCTGGGATTACAGGCATAAGCACTGCACCAAGCCGCACTTCCCTTTCACAAATGCCCAATCCCACCCATTTCATATTACTTGCTCCCATTCAGATGCTCCTAGTAGGACACCAAGACTGGTTCTTACCACTGGGAATCTCTTCTATGTACACAACTGTATTAATAGTAAAATGGGAAAGTTGATTTAAGGATAATTAACTTTGAAAAATGGGTCACAAGTCAGATGAAGTTAAGCTGTGAGCCAGATTTGACATGATTCCTATTACTTGTGTGAATTTTTTGATATCAGAATGAACTTGTATAGTTAAAACAGATTACATTTTTAAAATAGTGTATGTGACCAGTGTTTTTTTTTTTTTTTTTTTTTCCTGACTTTGGTATCCTCCTCTATCCTTTGTAGCTACCTTGCATGACATGGTCTTCAAAGATTCTCATGTCTGAGAATTTCATACCATATTTCACTGATTCTTAGACACTCATTTTTTACCTTTTAACATCTCTGCAATTGGGAAATTTCTTATAATTGATGACATTTTACAAGTGCCCTCAGCCAGGCAGCAGTTAAGACATAATTGTCATTGACAGAACATGTGAGAACATTAAGAAGGCCAGTATCAAAATTTGTAGAATAGGTGTTAGTAGTTGGAAGGAAATCTGGTGAACAATAGTAGCAGACTCTTATTCCCTAGGAACCAAAAGGTTAAAGGGAGTGGGGGGAAAAGTGATGACTCAGATGTACTAGGAAATGTTCCAAAGCTGGAAACAAAAACATATTAGTTCTATCTAATTGCAAAGTCCACTTAAGAGCAGGTTTTAGGTGGTTTTTAAAATTCTTTTGTTTTATTATTACTGTTTTGTAGAGATGGATTCTATGTTGCACAGGCCAGGCAGGCTGCAGTCAGCTACTGTCATGCCATTGCACTACAACCTGTGCAACAAAGCGAGATCCTGTCTCTAAAAAAAGAAAATGCTGCCTAATACCCACTTTTTTTTTACATGGAGTCTCTCTCTGTCCCCAGGCTGGAGTGCAGTGGTGCAATCTTGGCTCACTGCAACCTCCGCCTCCTAGGTTCGAGCAATTCTCCTGCCTCAGCCTCCAGAGTAGCTGGGACTATAGGTGTACACACCACCACGCCCAGCTAATTTTTTTGTATTTTTAGCAGAACAAGGTTTCACCATGTTGGGCAGGCTGGTCTCAAACTCTTGACCTTAGGTGATCTGCCTGCCTCAGCCTCCCAAAGTGCTGGGACTACAGGTGTGAGCCACTGCACCTGGCCAACAGCTTTACTCTTGATGACACAGAGGAGAATGCTATGGGGATCAACACAGACACCGATGATTCCCAGTCAAAAAGTGATTTTCGGCCAGGCACAGTGGCTCATGCCTGCAATCCCAGCACTTCGGGAGGCTGAGGTGGGCGGAGGTCAGGAGTTCAAGACCAGCCTGATCAACGTGGAAAAACCCCCTCTCTACTAAAAAAATACAAAATTAGGCTGGGCGCAGTGGCTCATGCCTGTAATCCTAGCACTTTGGGAGGCTGAGGTGGGTGGATCACCTGAGGTCAGGAGTTCAAGACCAGCCTGGCCATCATGGTGAAACCCCATCTTAAAAAAATAATAATAAATTTTAAAAAAATACAAAATTAGCCAGGCATGGTGGCACACGCCTGTAGTCCCAGCTACTCAGGAGGCTGAGGCAGGAGAATCACTTGAACCCGGGAGGCAGAGGTTGCGGTGAGCTCAGACTGCGCTATTACACTCCAGCCTGGGCAACAAGAGTGAAACTCTGTCTCAAAAAAAAAAAGTGATTTTCATTTTTATTAGGCACCAGAATTATACATAATAACCATCTAGCTGAATCAAAGAATTCTTTCAGTAGATATAAAAATTTCAAGTGGAAAAAAAGCATAGTTTAGTTTACAATGTTTTTCTTTCTTATTTTTTTTTTGTTTTGCTTTTTGAAATGAAGTCTCGATCTGTCACCAGGCTGGAGTGCATGGCACAATCTCAGCTTACTGCAACATCTGCCTCCTGGGTTCAAGTGATTCTCCTATCTGAGCCTCCCAAGTAGCTGGGATTACAGGCATGCGCCATCACGCCTGGCTAATTTGGCATTTTTTAAGTAGAGATGGGGTTTCTCCATATTGGTCAGGCTGGTCTTGAACTCCTGACCTCCGCTGCCTTAGGCCTCCCCAACTGCTGGGATTATAGTCGTGAACCACTGTGCCCAGTCAGCAATGTTTTTCTTTCTTAATGGTACATAAAGTAATGGTGTACTTTATAATAGATGGCATCTTCAATTATGTGAAATACAGTATACCAAACATCCTAAGTTCTACTTAATAAACTATTATAGATAAATTAGTTATCAAAACGTTTAATAACAAAAATACTGTAGACTAAATTATCTTTTTAAAAAAATGCCTTTTTGCGGCCATCACCTAAGCGGAAGCTGCCAAAATGAAGTTCAATCCCTCTGTGACTTCCAACAGAAGCAAGAATCACAAAAGTCATTTCAATGCACCTTCCCACATTCGCAGGAAGATTATGTCCTCTCCTTTTTCCAAAGAGCTGAGACAGAAGTACAATGTGCGATCCATGCCCATCCAAACGGATGATGAAGTTCAGGTTGTACGAGGACACTATGAAGGTCAGCAGATTGGCAAAGTAGTCCAGGTTTACAGGAAAAAATATGTAATCTACATTGAATGGGTGCAGCGGGAAAAGGCTAATGGCACAACTGTCCACGTAGGCATTCACCCCAGCAAGGTGGTTATCACTAGGCTAAAACTTGACAAAGACCGCAAAAAGATCCTTGAACCGAAAGCCAAATCTCGCCAAGTAGGAAAGGAAAAGGGCAAATACAAGGAAGAAACAATTGAGAAGATGCAGGAATAAAGTAATCTTATGTACAAGCTTTGATTAAAACTTGAAACGAGAAAAAAAAAAAAACTCACACATTTAGAAGCCATAGAGATATTTTCAGCCATTAGGCAATATGGCAATGAAGTGCCAGAGAATCAGGAATACAAAGACTGCTGTTCTGCTTTGTAAACAATAGTATTTCTTGAGCTGCTCTAGACTAAAACAGACTAGTTTAGTGCTTCTCAAACTTTGGTATTGGTATGTATGAGAATCTCCTGGAGAGCTTGTTAAAACACAGAACCCTAGGCTCACCCTTGAGATTCCAATATAAAAGATAAAAGATGCTTAAAACTTAGATGATGGGTTGATAGGTGCAGCAAACCACCATGGCAAATGTATACCTATGTAACAAACCTGCACGTTCTGTATCCCAGAACTTAAAAATTTTTTTAAAAAGATAAAAGATGGAACCTGAGAATTTACACATCTAACAAGCTCCTGTTTGATGCAGGTGATGCTGATACATATGCATAGCCCACACTTTGACAAGTACTAGTTTTTGTACTGCCTTTTGCCTTACTCAAACTAACCTCAGACCTTTACACCTAAGTTAGTTCCTTCACTGATTCAAATAACTAGAGTTTGATTCCTTCACTGATTCAAATAACTAGAGTTTCCATGGTCTCAGGTACCACACCAGGTACTAGATACCAAAAACAAAAAAAGTCATATAACAGGGTGCTACAATTAGGGTGTATATTGCAGGGGGTGGTTTTGGTGGGGTTTTTTTTGTTTTTTGGAGACAGGGTCTTGCTCTAATCACCCAGACTGGAGTGCAATGGCGTGATCATAGCTAAGTGCAGCCTTGATCTTCTGGGCTCAATCCCCCCACCTGAGGAGGGAGGCTCCCATCTGAGCCTCTCAAGTAGCTGAGACTACAGGGGTGCACCACCACACCAAGCTATTTTTTTATTTTACTTATGTATTTTTTTATTTTTTTGAGACAGAGTCTTGCTCTGTCGCCCAGGCTAGAGTGCAATGGCAAGATCTTGGCTCATTGCAGCCTCAGCCTCCCAAGTTCAAGTAATTCTTCTGCCACGGCCTCTAGAGTATCTGGGATTACAGGTGCTTGCCACCATGCCCAGCTAATTTTTCTATTTTTAGTAGAGATGATGTTTCACCATGTTAGCCAGGCTGGTCTCGAACTCCTGACCTCAGGTGATCCACCTACCTCGGCCTCCCGAAGTGGGGGGATTACAGAGGTGAGCCACTGCACCTGGGCATAATTTTTTATTTTTTGTAGAGACAGGTCTCACTATGTTACCCAGGCTGCTCTTGAAGTCCTGAGCTCAAGCAGTCTTTCTGCATCAACCTTCCAAAATGCTGGGATTAAAGGCGTGAGCCACTGCAGCCGGCTAGAAATCTTTTATTCTTCCTCTTATCATTTGAAGCCAAGATCATTTGTGTTAACCATCTATACAAAATACCAGATTATTCTACCCCAGATGAAGTGATAGTGTTTTTACTCTCAACATACCTATTTCTCGAGCAAGAATAACACTGCTGAGGCGTATCGGTTGGGTAGATTCTGCAACGAGTACAGCTTTTTGGGAACACAAGGTGCCATTTTCATATAAAGGCTCAACAGTAACTGCATCATGATGGGTGGAATGCCTGCCAGAACAAAACTCTTAAGAGTATGAAATACGTGGGTTAAAATTAACTTTTGTTGGAACATACATTCTCATACTTCTTCCATGTTACATACTACCAGGTATATGTAAATGACACTTTTTAAAGCAGAACTATTGCTTAGGGATGCAAGAAATTAGAGTGAGAGATAGGCCAAGGGTAATGGCTCACGACTGTAATCCCAGCACTTTGGGAGGCCAAGGTGGGGGACCACCTGAGGTCAGGAGTTTGAGACCAGCTGGACCAACAGGGAAAAACCCGTCTCACGGTGAAACTCTGTCTCTACTAAAAATACAAAAATTAGCTGGGCGTGGTGGCGCACGCCTGTAGTCCCAGCTACTCGGGAGGCTGAGGCAGGAGAACTGCTTGGACCAGGAGGCGGAGGTTGCAGTAAGCCGAGATTGTGCCATCGCACTCCAGCCTGGGTAACAAGAGCGAAACTCCGTCTCAAAAAAAAAAAACAAAAATTAGCTGGGCATGGTGGCATATGCCTGTAATCCTAGCTACTCAGGAGTCTGAGGCACAAAAATTGCTTGAAACCAGGAGGCAGAGGTAGCAGTGAGCCGAGATCCTGCCATTGCACACCAGCCTGGGCAATAAGAGCTGAAACTCCACCTCAAAAAAAAAAAAAAAAGAATTAGAGAAATTGATCAGAACTTTCCCAATGATCCCTTGAGCAGTCTCAGAAATATCCCTCCCTCAATATTTTTTTTTAAAAGATTGTTGGCCCGGCTCGGTGGCTCACGCCTATAATCCCAGCACTTTGGGAGGCGAAGGCAGGTAGATCACAAGTTCAGGCATTCGAGACCAGCCTAGCCAATATAGTGAAACCCCGTTTCTACTAAAAATACACACAAACAAAAAAAGATTGTTATATTCTTCCCTCAATATGCAGAAATAGGACTGATGTCTTTCCAGTAATGAGGTGCGACTTTCTCATACTCTGAGGAAAGTTTTCTTCAATCACCAGGCTGCTGCTATCTAGCATGAAAAAATTACCTAAATTATGAGGTATGAGTCCAAATCAAAATACCAAAAAAATTCATAAATGCTTTTATTTTTATTATGTTTTTGGGACAGAGTCTCACGTTGTCCCCCAAGATGGAGTGCAGTGGGGTGATCTCAGCTCACTGAAACTTTGCCTCCTGAGTTCAAGCGATTCTCCTGCCTCATCCTCCCGAGTAGCTGAGATTACAGGCCCGTGACACCACGCCCGGCTAATTTTTATATTTTTGGTAGAGACAGAGTTTCATCATGTTGGCCAGGCTGGTCTCAAACTCCTAACCTCGTGATCCACCCACCTGGGCCTCCCAAAGTGCTAGAATTACAGGTGTGGGCCACTGTGCCCGGACGAATGTTTTTATTTTTGTTTTGAGACAGAGTTTCACTCTTGTTACCCAGGCTGGAGTGCAATGGCACGATCTCGGCTCACCGCAACCTCTGCCTCCTGGGTTCAAGCAATTCTGCCTCAGCCTCCCGAATAGCTGGGACTACAGGCATGTGCCACCATGCCCAACTAATTTTTTTTTATTTTTAGTAGAGACAGAGTTTCACCATGTTGACCAGGATGGTCTCAATCTCTTGACCTTGTGATCCACCCGTCTCGGACTCCCAAAGTGCTGGGATTATAGGCGTGAGCCACCGCGCCCGGCCTTGTTTTTATTTTTAAATAGACATCTCACTATGTTGATTAGGCTGGTCTCAAACTCCTGGCCTCAAGCAATCCTCCTGCTTTGGCCTCCCAATGTGCTGGGATTGCAGGTGTGAGCCACCACGCCTGGCCTCAGGATTATTTTTGGAGGGATAGAAGAAATGGCTTTCAATGCTGGAAAGATGCCTTGCATCACCCTCATAGGAAACACACACATCACACTGGATCATCTTACAAGCCCACTTCCCTTAAACTGCCTCATAAAATGAGAGGTGAATTTATGCTCTGAACAAACCTCATTGCTTCTCCTAGGAGATAGCAAAGGGGTATCTACTCCATTTAGGATGAATGCACTGGCCTCCTGAAGCTCCTTTCAGTTAGGTTCTCTCACACCTTAGGCAACCACATAATCCATCACTGGGTCCTCTCACACCAGAAAATCACGTCTCTTCATCTTCAGTCAGAAAGTCATTATCCCAGAGTTGTGTGTACAACCTTGTCCTCATCCTTCAAGTGGGTACCCTTTTATAAATGGGGCAGTTTTGATAATAAAGACAGATCTCATCTCCACCCAGGATGAACCCTCATATTCCCAGAAGTTTACACTTCATAGTCTCTGGGCCTCACTTTCCTCGTCTGCGAAATGGAGTCACAGTACTTACTTCACGAGACTGTAAAAAGTGAATGAGTTAACACGCAGAGTACTTAGTTAACACTCAATACTTGGCTGTTGTGTTTTAAGTCCTCCTCAGATTGAACAGCTCACCTGTAGTGAGTGGGGACCCTCGCACCCCAAGTCTTCCTGCTTACAGAAATTTCCTCAGATATCGGGAACTTCCTCTTACTGGTTGTTTACGTTGCAAGTCATCAGTACCAGAGGCCTCCAACTCAGGGCTTCCCTTTACCCTGACGGCCGCTCATTGTGACCACCCCTTCCCAACACACACACAGAAAAGGCCAGTCCCACAACCCGGGAATTCCTCACTCGTCTGGAAGATCGTCACGCCACTGGAGGATATCCCACTAGTAGGACACGCCACACCCAAGGGTCTGTCCCCCACGTCCCCTTCACTGACACCACACTCTCCTCCCCTACCGGCTAGGTCCCTTCACGCGGGCCCACACGGTATTCCCGTGTGATCTTACAGAGGGTATCCCTCTCACCCCTACTGGATGATGTGAGGGTTCAATTCCTTGTGACCCACCACCCCTCACCAAGTGTAGCAGCCCCGCTGGGCCTCCAGCAGGAAAGGCTCCCGGCCTGACTCCTGGCTGAAGGGTAGCAACACCTGTGGCACGTTAAGTTTGTAGGCCAGCGTCCTAAGCAAAACCAGAAACAACAGGAAGCAGCGTAGAGGCAAGAAAAAGAGACCGAAGCCTCGGCGTCTTGATGACGCCTGACAGCCAGTCATGGCGACTGCCAGGTCTCGGGTTCCCGCTCAACTCCGGCCGCGCCCACAGCTCCATCTGCCAATCTGCAGGTGTGACGTCAGCAGAGGGGGCGGGACCTGCTTCTTGCTCGGAATTGTGGGCATTTTTAAATACAGTCCTTCAGCAAGCCAATAAAATGGAAACTTGGCACAAACCCAGCTAAAACACCTCAAACCCTCTTAAAGGGCTTTCTTGAATAATGGATGGCAGACCTTTTCAAGAGTAAGGAACAAGCAGAAAAGTCTAAAAAAAAGCTTCAGCCTCCCGAGTAGCTGGGATTACAGGCGTGAACCACCGCACCCGGACAGTACTTTAATTTCTTCCAATTTCTTCTGTTGCACAGTTTGGCTCAACATCACACCCCACACCTGATAGAAAAGCTTTTTGCAATGATTTCCAGTCAGCATTGGCCCATGCGTATAAACGGAAAATTGTGCAGTCTCTGGGATAAACAGCTGGACTTTGTCAAAGGAACCGTGTAATTTTACTAGAAGTCAGATTCACATCCAGCCTCCAGGCCACAATGCAGGAAATGCCGGACACTGGCCTCTGAAAGGCAGCTTTGAAAGTTATCCACTCATACAGCCGGCTTCTAAGCAAATACTCTGAGAGCACTTCTTGTTAACTTCCATAAAATATCCAAACAGAATATTAACTCAAAGGCTGTTTCACAGTACAGTTGGTTAAAACCATACATTTATAGTAGTGACCAGCATCATATATTGTTTTAAAGAGCATAATAAATCCATAGCTTATAAGAATTAATATGGTTGTAGGCCGGGCGCGGTGGCTCAAGCCTGTAATCCCAGCACTATGGGAGGCCGAGGCGGGTGGATCACGAGGTCAAGAGATCGAGACCATCCTGGTCAACATGGTGAAACCCCGTCTCTACTAAAAATACAAAAAAAATTAGCTGGGCATGGTGGTGTGTGCCTGTAATCCCAGCTACTCAGGAGGCTGAGGCAGGAGAATTGCCTGAACCCAGGAGGCGGAGGTTGCGGTGAGCCGAGATCGCGCCATTGCACTCCAACCTGGGTAACATGAGTTAAACTCCGTCTCAAAAAAAAAAAAAGAAAAAGAAAAAGAAAAAGAATATGGTTGTGAAGGAAAACGTATAGTTCAACCTGAGATGCCGGTGTTAACCTATAAAAGATCCGACACATTAAGTATTCTAATCTTCATGTTTACTCTGACAATACTTATCTTCATTTTACAGATGATGAAACTAAACATTTGCTCTACATTAAATATTGTTGCTACCACCCACAAAGATGCGATTTTTTTTTTTTTTTTTAAACGGGGTTTCACCATGTTGGTCAGGCTGGTGTTGAACTCCCGACCTCAGGTGATCCGCCCACCTTGGCCTCTAACTAAAGTGCTTGGATTACAGGCGTGAGCCACCACGCCCGGCCAAAGATGCGATTTTTAACCCAAACCTCATAGCTTCTGTGAAGAAAGCACATTTGGTTTTAATAAATAAAAGTCAAATAGGTCTGAGAGTTGGAGGGACTGGTTCTTTATTTCAAAAAGACACTTGTCAATATTCAGTATCAAAACAGTTACACTATTGATTTCTCTTTCTCCCAATCGGCCCAAAGAGACCACATAAAAGGAGAGTATATTTTAAGCCAATAAGCTGCAGGATGTACACCTAACAGACCTCCTAGAAACCTTACCAGAAAATGGGGACTGGGTAGGGAAACTTTAAAAGATCAGCAAACTGCCAGCCCATGGACTGCAGAGGCTGTCAGAGCCAGATGGGGTGGCCAGGGTGCCACAAATCCAAAGAAGCAGTTTCAAAATAATATAAAATTTTAAAAGTTTTGTACATAAGCTATTCAAGATTTCTCCAGCACTGACTGATACAAAGCACAATGAGATGGCACTTTTAGACACAGCAGCTTCAAACCCAGAGAAGGGTAATGAGATGAGTTTCATATGGCTAAATCAGTGGCAAAAACAATCTTCTTTCTTTCTTTCAAGGAGGCAGGAAAGCAATTAAGTGGTCATCTCAACATAAGGGGCACATGATCCATTCTGTAAGCAGTTGGGAGGGAGTAGAGATGGGACAAAAATTTGGTCTCAGAGATCTTACCACCTTAATTTGGTCACTTGTAATGAAAAAAATAGAAATAATGTTGTCCAAAGAGATCTTAAAGCTGAAAACTTGAACAGCACATTTTTTTGTTGTTGTTCTTGTTTGACTAACTCCTCCTGGAATCACCTTTCTGGTTTAGCTGGTACTTTGTACAGAGCAATGAGGTTTCCCACAGTGGAGTCTTTCCCTAGGCTCTGTTTGGCTCTCAGTAAGGCAGGGCTATACCTTTTCCTCTCTTCTATGGAGAGGGCAATATGCATTAAGCTGAAAAGTCACCTTCCAAAAGTAAGAAAGGGATTAGCTTGCTGCTTCAGGGCGTGGACTTATCTGGAATGTTTTACAAATGGTTGCTACAAAACAACAAAAAAGGTAATTACAAAATGTGTTCATCACGACATGCTTTTAAAGACATTATGCATTGTGCTCACATTCCCTTAAATGTTGTTTCCAAAGGTGCTCAGCCTCTAGCCCAACTGGAATCTCCGGGAAGAGGCAGAGACAGTTTGGCGAATAAGACACAGGGAAAGAGGGGACAGCGAAAGAGAAAGCAGCCTTCCAGTTAAAGATCAGCCCTCAGTTAAAGGTCAGCTTCGGGCAGGCTGGCCTCAGGCGGAGTCAGGGTCAGAGGGAGAAGCAGCAGCAGGGTGGGACTGGGGCGTTCTACATCTCATTCAGGTCGGGGGCGTTCTACATCTCATTCAGGTCAAGCAGAGTCTGGTCCAGCATCCTTTGTGTACAGAGGTGCTCCTCTTTGGTGCATTTCAGTTTATCTAATGGGGGTAAAGGAGAGAAGTTACAGAAAACGAGAAGTAAATTTCAAGGTCTGTGCGCTCTTTTGAGACTTGCTCCTGTTGCAGAAAAGCTTCGGAGTAATAAAGCAGCTGCTTTCTCAGCCACAGAAGTGAGCTATTTTATCACCCGGTTTTGTAGGGCCTTTGGGTTGCCTACTGAGGTTGTAGGTGTTGCTGTACTTCCTGGGTGAGAGAGTTAGGTCCCTTATCAGCCATTTCCTCTCCCACCCACACCCAACCAACACTTTCAGCTTTCAGTCAATGAAAGAGCAAGCCTTAAGCATCAGCCATCCACTTTTCTAGGTTTTACCCACATGACAATAACTTCTTGAAATGGCTCACTGGAGTTTGAACATTGCAAACAACAGAAACATCGGAATCTCAAATTATAAAGAGCACAGGAAGATCCTCATGCACTACATGTTTTTTCCAAAAAGTAGAGGAGAAAATAATAACTGGTGGGATAGATAAAAGGGCCCTCACAGTTAAGTTAAATAATCTCTAAAGAAAATAAAGCCAAGAACACTACTGAAACAAGTAGTTATAAGCAAAACTTTCAGATTGCTGTAGAGCTACTGTCCAAAACTAGCTTGTGACAGTTACTTGAAATTAAACATAAAACCAGGAAAAGGAAGCAAAAGGGAAAATGTCAGGAAGAAAATCAGCAGCTGAACACTGAGGAGAATCTAATTTGTCTAGCAAGCAAACCACTCTGACTGCTCTAAAGAGGTGAGGAAAATACTAAAATCTTCAACTCAGAGGTGATGGCGACACAGAGCCATATTCGTATCCCACAACTTTTCTTCCCTTTCCCTTTTTTTCCACCCAGTCAGAAGGACCCATGCCTGGGCCTGCAGACGAAGCAGTTACAACAATTTGTCAAGTCAGTCCTTTTATTGTTAGAAATATCCATGAAAAGGAACATATCCTACACTGAGTGCACAAGTGAAAGAGTAGCAAGTAAGGGTGGAAAACAATATTCTCCCAAGTTTTTTCACTATAATCTCTCAGGCCCCTCCCTTCTTCACCCATAATCTCTTCTAAAGGGTCAGAAACTTCACAATGGTCAATTTCACAATACTGTTAGGAAATGAACATTCTAAGTGCCCCAATTAAAAAGCAATATGCTCAGGGCAAAATAATAACTTTTAAAAAGACAATCAGCTTTTTGTTGGGGTCCAGGTCAGTGGTGTGAGCAGTAAGCTCAGTTTAATGGGCATCAGTGAGCCCTGCCCATCAGTCACACAGATCATGCAGCGTTAGCTTCAGCTCATTAGAAAGCAGGCGGTTTCGCTCAAGTTGGCTGTAGAGACGCTCTGCAGCAGCAACGGAGAGGAGGGAACACAAGAGAAGGAGAGGAAAAAGAGGAGGAGAAAGACAAAAAGGGAAAGTTAGTAGAGTACCAGAAGTAAATTATGAGTCTTTCAACTAGCTGGTATATATAACATGCATCTGTAAGGCAGGGTGGATGGGATGCAAGGAGGATTCAGACAGAGAGTCAGTCACTTGGTGGAAAGACCAACAGAGGAAATTTGGACTGACGAGTTGGTAGGACAATATCTTGAGGGAGAAAAAATACCCCCTTCACAGTATTTACTCCCTGAGTTGAGAAACTGAAACAAGGGAAATGGCCAAGGAAGGAATATAGCTGGCTTCGGAGAAATGTGTTCACAATCGGGGTTTGAAAGCAACGGAAGTGAAAAGCTGAACATTTTCTGTGAAGGCATTTCAACATGGCATTATAAATGGTAGACTGGAATAAATATCCCCACACTCATTCACTCCTATATTTTCTAATGCTCCTTGTTACAGTTATTGTGTGATAGACTGATTTTAGTGGCCTAGTCAATAAATATTCAATTTCTTCTTCTTTAAAAGAACCTCAAACCTGTTAGAGTCAATAGTGTGCCTAGTCCCAGGGAAGGCAAATTACTGATATAAGCTAATCAAGACTATCCTGTTGTTTTTCAGCCTCCCTTGCAGCTAGGGGTGATCATGTGATCCAGTTTTAATCAATGAGATGTAAAAAGATAGTCTGCTGGGGGCTTTTGGGAAGACTTTAGCTTTCCCTCTTGCCTTAAACATGATGTGATGACTAGAGTTACATATTTCAATCTTAAGAGAAGAGACCAAGAGAATCACAGAAAGCCCAGCTGAAACAGGCCACAGTTGCTCATGGCTAGATATATGTGATTTAAAAAAAAAAAAAAAAAAAATCCTATGTTTATTTAAGCTACTAGTAGGCTGTTTCTGTTTATTTCTTTTCTTTCTTCTTTCTCCTCCCTCTCTCTCCCTCTCTCTCTCTCTCTCTCTTTCTAACAAAATCAGGCTAAGGGACAATTTAGCAAATATTCCTGATACAAGCAGCTAAGTGCTCAAATCTAATGGGTTTATCTGGATTTTTTATTTGAAGCACACTTTAAAGAGATAGTGGGATATGAAAGATTCAAATCCATCTGACTAGCACAGAGATAATACAAGTTTGGAGACAGGAAAACCAAACTCCTGGTATATGCCTAGAACCAACCTCTGAAATTCACAAGTAAGTTTCTCCCTATATTTTACAGCCCCTTTCAAAATGGTCTCACGACCTCAAATATGAAAAAAAGACTTTTCTGTCCTAAAATCATCTGCATATGTGGGCATTGCTCAGGCACCCTGCCTTCTGGGCTGGAGTTTTTTCCAAGATTGACCAGGAAGCTAAAGGCCAGTATAGTCCCAGTAATACTTGCCACTTTATGTACACTACCAAAAACAGAAAGCATGTATGTATAAAAAACCTGGGAGGGAATGACCAAAAATAATAGCTATATTCAAAAGCAGAATCAGGGTGAGCCTTTAACTTGCACTTCCCTTTAAACCAGTGGTTCTCAATAGGGGTGGTATTGAGCACTCTTCTCTCTCAGGAGAGATTTTGATTATGTGTGGGAGGTTTTGATATCACAATGATTAGAAGGCCCATATAGGTATCGGTTACATTCACCATTGAGAAAGACTATCCAGGCTGAGCAACCAAATCTGAAAATCCAAAATCCAAAATGCTCCAAAATCTGAAACTTTTTAATTGCTAACATGATGCTCAATGAAAATGCTCATTGGAGGATTTTGGATTTTACATACGTGTGTGTGTGTGTGTGTGTGTGTGTGTGTGTTTGTGTGTGTGTGTGTGTGTGTAATTTTAGAGACAAGGTCTTATTATGTTGTCCAGGCTAGAGTGTGGTGAGTATTCATAGGCCTAATCATAGTGCACAAACTACTAGGGCTCAAGCGACCCTCCCACTTCAGCCTCCTGAGTAGGAACTATAGGTGTGTATCACCATGCCTGGTATGAATGTCTGATTTTCAAATTTGGGGTGCTCAACTGGTAAGTATAATGCAAATGTTAAAAAAAAAAAAAAGTCAAAATCTGAAACACTTCTGGTCACAAGTATTTTGAATAAGGTATACTCAAAACTGTACTAATAGTGTATAAGCTTCATGAGGCCTCAGATTGGACCAGTCTTATACACTGAGGCATCCTTGTCAAAATAACAGGTATTGAAATTTGTGAACTAATCTCTCAAACTTCCTGTGATGTTACATTTCATACAAATCTCATGAACAGACTGAACTTAGAGACCTGTATCCAAGTTGGTTTGTGTGATTCACACTTGGGAAAGAAGGATGTTATAAAGATCTTTATCTCTCAAAACAGCCTGGTCAATGAGAGTTCTGTTCCATTTAGGGAAGAAATAAAGAGACAGAGAAGGAGTGGGAACATTTTATTATTGCCTGACTAAATTTCAGAACACAGAGTTCCCTAGGGATTGCATGAGGTCAGAAAGACAAATGTAGCTGTTCTCTCACTTTGAACTTAGCTTCTAACTCTGCTATCTCTAATAATTAAAAATTAAGGATCAGTACTAGCTCCTTAGGTAAAGCTCTTGGTTCCCTGATAATAGCTAAAATAAAACAAAACAAAACAAAAAGGCAAGGCAGAGAATCCATTTGGTCCAATATTCTTTTCAGCTATACCTGATTAAGAAACAACCCCATGGCCGGGCACAGTGGTTCATGCTTGTAATCCCAGTACTTTGGGAGGCCAAGGCAGGTGGATCATAAGGTCAGGAGTTCAAGACCAGCCTGACCAACAAGATGAAACCTTGTCCCTACTAAAAATATAAACATTAGCTGGGCGTGGTGGCACATGCCTTTAATCCCAGCTACTCAGGAGGATGAAGCAGGAGAATTGCTTGAATCTGGGAGGTGGAGGTTGCAGTGAGCCGAGATCGCACCACTGTACTCCAGCCTGGGTGACAGAGCAAAACTCCATCTTTAAAAAAAAAAAAGGGGAGGGGGAGGAACAACTCCATGGAGCTGGATAGTATTCAACTAATACCATGTGAAAGGAAGAGACTGGGTGGGGCTAAGATAAAGCTGCCAAACAGAATAGGTCAGTTGCATCTATCAGATAACATGGGAGTTACCACATTTTATTCCTCATCTCAATGATGGTAACAAGGAAGACATTATTACTCAAATTGGTCTCCCCGAGCATTCGGGAAGAGTAAATGAAAAATTGGGAAAAAAAAAAAAAAAGGAGGATCAAAATGGGCCTGTGGATCTTAGAAATTAAGAGAAGGGGGAATCATTAAGGGGCCAAGTGTTTTGCTCTGATGCTTGGCTTCACCCCCAAACTAGTGCAGGCTCAAGTAACACAGGATGACTTCTGCAAAGATATTGAGCCTTAAATGAGGGAATGAAGTTAGCACTACATAGTACCTTCATTGTTTACTTTGCTACCCCAGCTTGTTGGTCTCTATCCTTGCTCATACTAGTCATACCACAGGGAAAACAAGGAGATACCAGAAATCAGAGATATAACACCTTACTCTTCTCCCAATCTCCCTCTCTTACTTCCTTTCTAAGAAGCCTTTCTTCATGTCAAAGCCAACTTTTTCTGCCCAGAATCTAAATATTTGGGAATGTGGTGTCCAATATAATAGCCACTAGCCACAGGTAGCTAATTAAATCTAAATGAACTACAATGAAAGTAATTAAACTTTAGCCCCTTCAACCACACTAGCCACGTTTTGAGTGCTTGAGTGCCACATGTGGCTAATGTACTGGACATCATTACCAAAAGTTCTGCTAGATAAAGCACTGCTCTAGTAAACTATATTGCCTATATCTTCTTCCTACCAATACATTCTTTTGCCCCTGAAAATATGACTCCCCCTCTTGACTTATTAACAGTCACAATGTACCCTCCAATTACTAAAGTATCAATGAATGTCCCATTTTCAGTTATCTTCCTTCTCAACCTCTCTGTTGAAGAACCACTGGAAACCATCCAATCTTTTTTTTTTTTTTGGGAGGAAGTCTCACTCTGGAGTGCAGTGCTCAATCTTGGCTCACTGCAATCTCCACCTCCTGGGTTCAAGCAATTCTTCTGCCTCAGCCTCCCATGTAGCTGGGATTACAGGTGCCTGCCACCATGCCCGGCTAATTTTTTGTATTTTTAGTAGACACGGGGTTTCACTGTGTTAGCCAAGATGGTCTCAATCTCCTGACCTCTTGATCCACCCACCTTGGCCTCCCAAAGTGCTGGGATTACAGGTGTGAGCCACCGCGCCGGGCCAACCCTGAACTTCTTTAACTACTCATCTGTCTTCTTTCCCTCCAATCAATTCCATTTGGCTCCTCCTCCTACATGACGTTTTCCTCACTGTTTAATTATATATATATATATACATATATATATGTTTGCAATTGTCCTTTATGGTTCTAATTTACCTCCATGGTGTAAACTACCTGTACCCCTTATGGATTCCCAACTCTCTATGTCAACCTCTCTGCCTCAAACCCTAGAATTTTGTTTTCACTCAGATACCTGCCAGACTGTCAGCCACATCTTCTTTCCTTTCCCTCAACTCCCCAAAACAGGACAATGTGACCTCCCTACATCTTTAACCCCCATTTTCCCACTCTTTCTTTTGAGGGTCTCATTCTGTCGCCCACGCTGGAGAGCAGCAGTGTGATCACAGCTAGCTGCAGCCTCAAACTCCCTAGGCACAAAGGATCCTCTGGCTTCGGCCTTCCAAGCAGATAGGACTACAGGCGCGCACTACCCTGTCTAGCTAATTTTTTTACAATATTTTGTAGAGACAGGGTCTCACTTTCTTGCCAGGCTGATCTCGTACTCCTGGGCAAGGAATCTTCACACCTCAGCCTCCCAAAGTGCTGGGTGGGATTACAGGCATGAGCCACCGAACCTGGCTCATTCTCTTACTCTAAAAACCAGTCATCCTTATCTTTTCCTCCTCCTATCAAGTGGCCAGGCCTTTCACGATGCCTGTCTTTATTTAGCGCCTGACTGGCATAGCATATTACAGTGCAGAACTCCTGAGCTTAAGGCTTCCTTCTGCCTCAGCCTCCCAAGTAGCTACAGGCACTACAGGCATGTGCCATTGCACCCAGCTGAAAGAAAAGAAAATTTTAAATACAAACCCTTCTGAGAAACTAAAGTACTAAGTGAACTACACTTAAGCTCTTGGATTAGTATAATTCACAGCTATACTATTCAGAAATCTCTGCTGCGTAAATTGGAAGGGGAAATTTCTAAAATGTTATTTAATTCCACGTTATGAACCAGGGAAAATTTTACTAGCAGAAATTTATGTATGTAATACATCATCAGCCCCATATGCACATTATTTGAACTATTCATGATTGGCCATTTTAGTTTTCCCAATAATAATTTATCACTTGTCTTATATCCCACTAGCACACACTAGTAGGCAAATGGTAGCAAGTCTCAAATATGTAAGAAAGATTTAAAGAAGAAAAAGTAAAACTGTTGAGAATTCTATCCATTGTATATTTTTCTGTGACTTGGGATGATGTAACTCGTCAATCTTAACAATAATATATTGAGTTCTGAGTGTTCTGAGGATACACCATTTGAACCACGAGTAAGAGAGTACAGAATGTGTATTGAGAGCCACTTCAATGGCTTCTCAACGACACTACAGCAAAGGAGGACCTGAAGAGAGAATGGAAACACTGCAGGCAGATGATTTAAGAACCTGGAAATAAGGAATTTAATCTTGTTCAGCCTGAGGAGTGTAACTAAAATTACCATTCTGAGGAACCTGTACTAAATCCATCACTCTAGTAGAATCGGATCAGCTGAGTTTAAATGTCAAGAAAAAATAGACACACACAAAAGTGGCTTTGATTATGTAAGTCAGAGGTAGGGGAGCCTATGAGAGCTCTTCCCCACATCACTACCCCAAGGCTCCTTCTTAGGGACAGCAGCAGCTTTGTCAATGACACAAATGCAGGGTGGCATGAGGTTTCCAGCAGCTTAACATTTTAATTTGGGGTGGGGGTGGAAGAAAATACATAAGTTGCTTTTGTGCCCCCCGCATCCTAATGCCTTGGGGCCCAGCCAGGCTGACCCAAATGGAATCCAGAGCGAGTGGGGCGTTGGGTTCCCCGAGGAGGAAAGGGGGCAGATCCAGAACAGAGCAGAAACGGTGATAATTATCTGTATGAAAAAGTAAGGATACTCTAGGTGAGAAGGACTGGCATCAATCTAGATAGCAAATTAGGAGAAAGGGAGAGGAAAAAAAGGAAGAGGTGGCAGCAGGAATAATAAAAGAGAGCCAGACACTTCAGCCTGAGAAATTGGCTTCTTTTCAGGGTTAGTGGGAAAGATACAAAGAAGCCGATTAGCATCAAGGATCAGGGATCCACAGCAAACAGATGAACTCCCAGCTCCCTTTGGTGCTGTTTACCACTTGGCTTGCTTCTGGGACTCAGCTCAATTCTTAGGTCAATTTGGTATTTCTCATCTTAAATAGTTCCCTAAACTTTAATATCAGGGAACAAATCAAACATACCCAGGAGGCCTGAATTTTGTTTTAACGTGTCAGGGCCCAAGTCACTGGCTCTCTGGGCCCGATCTCATTAGTTGCATGGATTCTACATCTAGCAGTATCCCTTCTAAGAAGACTAAATTTGAGAAGCAAATAGAAAAATCAGTGTAATGAAAAAACTATAAATACAAAGTATAAAAGTTACAAGTCAATCAGGGTTCTCCCTCTGATCCAAGATTAACTGCTTCCAGAGCATTTTTTTTTTCGAGACAGAGTCTCAATTCTTTCACCCAGACCGCATAATCTTGGCTGACGGTAACCTCCACCTCCCAGTTTCAAGCGATTCTCCTGCCTCAGCCTCCCAAGTAGCTGGGGTTATAGACGTGCACCACCACACCCAGCTATTTTCTTAATATTTTTTAGTAGAGATGGGGTTTCGCCATGTTGGCCAAGCTGGTCTTGAACTCCTGGCCTCCCAAAATGCTGGGATTACAGGTGTGAGCCACTGGGTCCAGCCTTTAATTTTTTTTTTGAGACCCATTCTTGCTCTCTATTGCCCAGGCAGAGTGCAGTGGTATAATCTTGGCTCACTGCAACCCCTGCCTCCCAGGTTCAAGCGATTCTCCTGCCTCAGCCTCCTGAGCAGCTGGGATTACTGGCACGCTGCCACCATGCCTGGCTAATTTTTGTATTTTTAGTAGAGACGGGGTTTCACCATGTTGGCCAGGATGATCTCGAACCCCTCTCCTCAGGTGATCCACCAGCCTCGGCCTCCCAGAATGCTGGGATTACAGGCATGAGCCACCACGCCCGGCCATGCTTCCAGAGCTTTTGCCAAACAAATAACCAGCACCAATGTTTCAAAGATAAGGGTGGAGATTCTATAGTTTCCAGAGGATAAAACCAAAGCACACCACTATGCATAGCTTGTACCCCCATCCACCCACAAGCCAAGATCCCAGCCCCACTCTGCTGTCAGATAGTTACATAGAGGTCATGTCATTGAGGGCGTGGTCCAGCTCCTCGCTAATGGCCTTGTACTTCAGTTTCTGGGCATAGAGCTCATCTGGACGGGCACAGGAACCACAGGGAAGAATGAGGGGACAGAGTGAAAAGTTTCAGAAGCAGATGAAGAGAGGGAATCATTAGAAATTAGGAAAAGTGTGACTGTGGGTCTAATACCACAGTTAGGAAAACATCTATTCTGGCAACCATGACTGGGCATGTTCAGATCTACTCTCTCCTATGACCAACTCTTTTTTGATACCCCTTATCCACTGCAGCAAGGTCTAAGAACCTGGGCACAATCATAACTAGAAATTCCTATTACCAAAGGCACTCAAGAGGATATCACTCCCATCCAGGTACCCAATTCCAGGAACAAAAATAGCAAAGGGAGAAGAGTAGACATCCATATTCAGACACTTCTCTGCCTACGAAGTGTGAACCCTATTAGTGGCCCCTTTGCTCCACAGGTTGCCCCTGCAACTCTTCCAAGAGCATACCAAAGAAGCATACATCAGAGCTCTCAAAGCAAAGAGCACATGCCCTTGTCAGGGTGGATGGCAGTTACCAACTTGCAGGAACAGAAAGTATTTAGAAAGCTCCTGACATTCGTTGTCAGTGCTCAGATATGGTTATTCCACAACTTGATTTCTTTGATAAATACCCCACAACTTGAGTGGTGAAAAGAATTGTGGAAAGTAGCCATGAACTGACATGCGTCTTGCCCTTCTGAAATCATGGCTTCCATTTAAACCTACAGACTAAAGGTTTAAGACTACTAAATTAGAGGTAAATGCAGCCATTATCATTTTCCTCAAAGGGAAGAATACAAATTGCAGAATATTAGGTAGGTGACGTCTTCTGAAAGGAAAAGATTAATTTTAAAAATCCAATTCTAGGGTTTGACCCACTTTGCCTAGCTGTGGCATAGGACAGTGAACATGATATTAATACATGCCAAGTCACTACCAACTTCCTTTGGTATACAGGAAAAAGAGATGAATGGTTAATAGGCAAGGTCTTCCTCTATATTTTTCTATTTCAATCCCTCTTCCAGGTTCCATACCTTCCAAGTCATCAATTGTCTTTTCCAGCTTGGCTACCGATCTCTCAGCAAACTCAGCACGGGTCTCTGCCTGGGGGAAATATGAAATCAGTCAGAATCAGAGATGTAGACAAAGAAAAACAATCTCTGTTTCTTCCACCTTCTACTTCTGGACCTTTCAGAACCCAAACTAGCCAGTCTAAGTCTACATTAATGCCTTATATACCTCTAAATGTTTTGGGTCCTGCCCTATAATCCCCTCAGCTCACCTCCTTGAGTTTATCGGTAAGAATCTTGATCTCTTCCTCATATTTGTCTTCTTTTTGAGAGTACTGTAAGAGAAGTAGATTAAAATTTCAGAGTAGAAATTAGTCACACAGACAATACCCATGTCCCTACACTTACTCTTATATTTAATATCCTCTTGGACGTAATGTGCTGAATGGCCCAAGAGTAAGAGCAAGGCCTGGCTCTGGACAACAGGTCCTTGAAATCCAGAAATCTAAAGGTCTTTAGAGTCATGATATCCACAGATAAAAATTCTCCATGACTTTTTAAGATGGATCTAAGCTTTGATATTATTCAGATCAACCCAAGGAAGTGTTTTTCCTTTCCCCTGCGTAATGAGCAGGAGTAGTGGCACCCCAAGGTCACATGACTGAAACACTCCCACATGATGGTAAAGTGAAGTCATCTGTCTTGATTGCTCATTAGGTCTCAGAGCCAATTCTGTCTGTTGCCCCCGTCTGTCTGCTAGAAAGTCTGTTAGGGCCCCTGATTATTGCCTTTCAGCACAGCAGTATCAGCCTGAGGAGCACATGACTCCAGGAACCTGAGACCATGAAGTTATTTTCATTAAAGCAATCAAAGTGCACAAAAAGTAGCATTCAACCCAGAATCTGAATACATGGTAAGTAGGTAGGAAGAGGACACTTGTTACTGGATTATATATGGAATGGGTGTCTCCAGTCTTTTATCAAGGGCAGGGCTGGGCCCAGGCCCCAAAGCCTGTCACTTTCACAAACCAGCCCCTACCTTCTCCGCCTGAGCCTCAAGAGACTTGAGGTTGTTGGTGACATTCTTCAGCTCCTCCTCCAGCTCAGAACACTTACTGTGAATATTTTAAATACCGCAGGAGAGGAAAGGGGAAGAGGAAGAGAATAAAAAAAGGGAGAGAGACACATAGACGTGAATTGAACCTATATGTAGAGAGAGTTGGAAGGCATACTGGGGAAAAGATGTTCCCAAGTAACCTGAGCAAGCATCAACCCTCCTCCCTCTACCATAGACCATGTCAGGAGCTGGACCTTCCTGGGCTCAAAATGTTTGAATACTAATAAAGAAAGAACACTTGAGAGCACTCCACTACCAGGAACAAGTCATAATTGTCACCTGGGGTGGAGGTGGGAACAAATGCCCAACCCAGTCCCCCAAATCACCCAAAGGAAGGAGACCCTGTGGAGAGGCAGTGAAGCGACTAGGAAAGAAGAGATGAAAGATGCCAAGTAAGTGGAAAAGAATGAAGCATTCCATGAAGAGATGAGACAGCACTCAACAAAATCAACCAGTGGAGGGGAGGCAGCTGCAAAACAAAAACAAAACAAACAAAACAAAACCACACCATATATATATATGTATAATCTTGCTGTGGGTTTAATGGTTAGTACCTTTTCTTCAGCAGCACTCAGACACTTCAGGTTCTGGTCCATCAGTCTGATCTGCTCATCCATCTCTCGGCAACGGCTGTTAGTGATAGTCACGGGGATGGCACAAGCCAGGTTGTGGGGAGGGAGAAAGGTCAAAAAGGAACACAGCAAGAAAACAAGCAGCAAAACGAAAAAAAAAATTTTCAAAAAATGGGAAGAGAACACCACCATGGTCATGATATGTTATGTCTGGCAGAAGGGAATGTGAGGGAAGCACAAATATATAAGCACCAGCACTGACTTTGTTATACAAGGCCCAGAAGGTACCAACGGGGAGCAGTTAATATCTATCCTTGCACTAAGGATCCCCAGCAGATTGGCAAAGTGGCAAAAACAGACACCAGATTTTTTTAGGGACAGGGTCTCTCTATGTCGCCCAGGCTGGCCTCCAACTCCTGGGTTCAAGCCATCCTCCTGCCTTGGCATCCTAAGTAGCTGGGACCATAGGTGTGAGCCACCACACCCAGTCAGACACCAGATCTTAAATCAGGACAGCCACTTTGATGATTTCCACCCCAGGTGGAAGGACCCAGTAGGATCTTCCAGTTAACTGTTCACCATGTATTAGTCCTTATTTGCTCTCAATTTGTAAACCCCACCAAAAAAAAAAAAAAAAAATAAGAAAGCCTCTTTTGTCACCTGTCACTAGTCAGGAGAATAAGGAAGGCTAAAGCCATTCTTGGGCCTAAAAAAGCACTTAGATGACTCCCACTCCCTAGGCCCTGTTTAACAAGGTTGAAAGAATGCTAATTTATTCTTATTAGTGCCCAAGCCAAAGGGGAAGGGACAAAATGGTGTGACAAGATTTGAGGAGCTAGATACTCACGACTCTGCCAGCTCAGCTCGTTCCTCTGTGCGTTCCAAGTCTCCTTCAATGATCACCAACTTACGAGCCACCTACAGGAAAATGTTCCAGTATAGCTTAGTGAAGCAAAGAAGGAATCATTTACTGCATTATTCTTTGCAAAAGCCTGGTATCACTGAAGAGAGAGATAAACAGAGAGTCACTTACCTCTTCATACTTCCTATCTGCCTCTTCTGCAATGTGCTTAGCTTCTTTGAGTTGGATTTCCTGGAGTTCCATCTTCTCTTCATCTTTTAAGGCCCGGTTTTCAATAACCTTCATACCTCTGCCAGAAACAGGACAAATACAATACTGACATCCTCAGGAGTATGTCATCAGTTCCACTTCAAGGGTCTCAGAATTGTACTTTTAAAAGCCCATTCCTTGAGGTGGCTCATGCCTATAATCCCAGCACTTTGGGAGGCCAAGGTAGGCAGATCACAAGGTCGGAAGTTCGAGACCAGCCTGGCCAACATGGTAAAATCCCATCTCTACTAAAAATACAAAAATTAGCCCAATACGGTGGCTTGCATCTGTAATCCCAGCTACTCAGGAGGCTGAGGCAGGAGAATTACTTGAACCTGGGAGGTAGAGGTTGCAGT